AGTAAATCCAAACAAAAATAGTGATACTTATAGTCATGGGCTGGTTAGGGGACAACAAGAGTCAGGCTGCAGAAACTAAAGGCCTCAGAATAAAAGAGTGAGAATGACTTGGCCTAATATGTGGATAACAAGCAACCTAGTCATAAAACGGAAAATATGTAAACACGCAAACGACCTAAAATAATTTGGCGGGAGCATGGAAGAAAATAGCAACCTCAAGTCAAATTAGAATAGGAAGGATGAGAATATATGGACATAATTGTAGGAATACAAAGCAAATTGAAGTGAAAGATGTGATAAGAAAAAAAGATTGATAAACCATTGAAAAAATATTCAAAATATGAATCAAGCAGAAAAGATAAAATAGGAGACCAGGAAAGTCTTTGAGCAAGCCCAATGTAATGGAAAGGAATAAACGGTATGGCAATACGAAGGCATAACTAAATTAAAAAATAATCTTATTAAAAAAAACATGCTATGAAGACGAAATGTAGCGATATCACCTTCATAAAAGATCATATTCTTCTGGAGGCAGCAGTTAAACTGTGCATCTCCTTTAGAAACCCTCTAATAAATAGTAACTTAGAGTAACTCGATCCAAACTTAATCTTCACATCCTGGATTAGGATATCGTGCAGAAAGATGAGAGATCCAGATCAGCATTTTATTTCAATCCGAATCTAAGCAATTTTGAGGGATTGAGAAAAACTAAGCTATCCTTTAAAAGTTATTAGGAACGTTTTAATTGAAAGAATTTTGAGCCTATTGGCTTACATAATCTAAGTAATAGCAAATATAAGAGTTGAAACTGGCGTACCTTTCATTTCGTTTTAAAAGGCGGGTCGAAGCGATTCGAAGAATGGCCTCACCGGATACCGCAGAAGGGTTGCTTTGGACTTTTGTCTGTTGAATTGTGCGAATAAGACATCGATTCACCGCTTAACGGTCCTGATGACTTCGTGCAGAGTTTTCCTCCGTCCTGTGACGGACATTGTCAGAACAAGAAACCATTGTTAACGAAAAATCACCAAATAATACTGAATAAATTATCAAGAGAAGCTGGGTTTCGAAGTGTTTTTCGGTGATTTTTCATGAATGGGTTCTGGCTCTGACGCTGTACGTCAAAGGAAAGACGAAAACTCAGCAAGAAGTCATAGGGGTCCTAAGACGATGGGCCGAGGTCTTCTTCGCACAATTCAACAGACAAAAGGCCAAGACAACCCTCTTGCGATATCCGGTGAGGCAAATCTACAAATCCCTCAGACCCATCTTCTCAAACGAAACGAAAGGAACGCCAGTATCAATCCATTAAGGGATTCTTCAAAATTCAGCTTCTCTCAATATAAGAGTTGTTTGGCTTTGCTTCCGCAATTTCGTCATATTGGTAGGGAGACCTAGAGGAAAGCAACTAGTTCGGAGTCCATAGTAGGCATGACAATTTCCGAAGTCGGATCGTGGATGTGATACCTTCCCAGACGTCTTGCCGGCATCGTAGTCACCATCATCAGCGGTTCTTGACAGTCTAAGCACCACCTTCAGCTACTATTCGTCAATGGGACAAGTGAAACTAATCTGTTGACCAATTGTCTGCTAAGCAATTGTGATATCTCTCCTTCTGCCTTGTCCTGTTCACCAATTCTATGTCCTCCTATCACCCCCTTCATTATCACAATTTCTAAATTGCCTATTTAAGTGTGGTATGGTGTGCACTTTTGAGCGGATTTCATGAGAACCCTTTACATCCTCCACCGACATTCTTACACCTTTACCCCACCCTGCTTTACCCTTGTGCTGAGAATGTTGATCTGTCTGTCATATTATTCATCAACCCTCTAACCATAGATCGTATCAGAGTCTCTCTCTTGCCCCATAAGATCTGCCTCCTACCTCCCTTGTTTAGGTATTTCACTCGATCCATGCCACCCTATCTGTACTACTCGAAGCGTTATTTCCTACACTGTCTCAAGCCTTTAATGGCGCGTATACTCCCGCCGCGCTGAGTAGGCCCCTAAAAATAAGGATTCTCAAGCTGGATGGGAGATTAACTTGAGCCTAGAGACCGCGTAATTCTCGTGGTCAAACCTATGCTTCATGGACCACGTCTATGATCAAACACGTCTACTGTTAGCCAATTAGCTCTAGTCTCAGCCGCATCCATTGTGCTTCGATAGATATTGCCAATTCTATGACTTCGTATGTCATAGTCTCTTGTGTAACAACACACAAATGTTGTGTTTACACTTGTTTTGATTAGGTTCAATGTAGAACCACAGCATTTGTAGGTTGGGTAGGCGGATTTTACGGGGCAAGAGAGAGACTCTGATAGGATCCATGGTAAGAGCATTGAGGAATAATATGGCAGACTGATCAACATTCTAAACACAAAGGTGAAGCAGGGTGGGGTGAGGGAGTAAGAATGCCAGTGGGGGATGTGAAGAGTTCTCATGAAATCCGCTCAAAAGTGCACACCATACCACACTTAAATAGGCAATTAAGATATTGTGATAGTGAAGGGGTGATAGGATGACATAGGATTGATGAATAGGCCAGGGCAGGAGAAATATCACAATTGCTTAGCAGACAATTGGTCAACGGATCAATTTCACTTGTCCCATTGACGAATAGTAGCTGAAAGTGGTGCTTAGAATGTCAAGGCCCGCTGATGATGGTGACTACGATGCCGGCGAAACGTCTGGAAATGTACCATGTCCATGGTCCGGGTCTGAAAATTATCATGCCTATTATGGACTCCGGACTAGGTGCCTTCCTCTAGTTACGAACATGTAATAGCACACACAATATACAGTGTAGATATGAACTTTAATATTGTTTATAAAATCTGGTTCACAAGATCTGGCACCAAAGGATATCAATACTAGACTGAAGAAAAGAGCAAAGCGATGAAAAGAAACAAAGTAGAACGTCCAGCAGGTAATCTTAGTCCATCTGGGTACATATCAGGCTAGAGTAAAGACAAGTGGCCAATGAGTGCGTGAGGCATGCCACACAGACATACACATGCATTTAGTGTCTACGTGATTATAGGAGGCAGGATAAAAACCATGTGTGTCTTTAAGCGAGCTAAGGAGAGTGCACACCAAAGTGGTTGTGAACGTACAAAACGCATGCCGTGCGACTGAAAGTGAGTCTCAAATGCCTGTTGTGCATTTAGTTCAGGCGCAATACGCGCACAAGCGCACAAACTGAGGGTATAACAACGGAAAGCTGAGCGGCTTTAAGTCTTTTGTTTCTACCCCACGACAGCATGCAGAAGGCCCAGCCCGACCTAATCATAGATTGGATTGTCAGGTATAGAAGAGAGTAGAGCTCGAGGTTCTTTCAATTAAATTTAATAAAACCCCTAGACTGAGAAGGCTATGACGTGACAAGATGATTGAATTCTTCTTTTATTTATGAAGTAGGTGTAGACAGCATGATTAGACTTTGAATAAGAATTTGAAAATACCTCTTTCGTAAGATCTGCTGGGAGTATAAAAATTTACTCAAAATTAGTAAGTAACTTCCTTTAAGCTCAGGCCCTAAAAATATTAAGCATTTTAAGCCAAATCAGGATAAATAATTTAGCACAATTAGAAGAGGATAAGGCAATAATAAAGTTATCGGCTAGTTCGAGTAAAAAATGAGAAAAGCGATAATCCACTATATGGTGTAATGAAATCTTCTGGTTGGTCCCGTGTTAAATAGACGTAACTGACCAGTCTTGCAGAGCATACCGATAAGGAAGTCCTCTAAAAAAGTTATTTCCGTTTTTAAGAAGTCTTTTTTAACTAACAGTAGATCCTAAATAAAAATTTTAGTCACCACAGGGTCGCTCAATACAATTAGGAATTGATGGTGAATTGTTTCATAATGTTATAAATAGGCAGTACGATGTGCACGACCCGCTTTCGACTCGTGCTGAGGTGCGGATAAGACCTAGGAGAGGTAAAAATTGAAATCTGCCCTTTGGAAAGCATGGTGGGGTCTATTTATATTATTGTGGGAAAATTTACTATAAGTGCTAAGTTCTTATTCAATAATTATTTATAGTCACAAAAACTACTCAGACCGAAAAATTACTTATCGTAATTTGTTTAAAAGATAATTGGCATGATTCAATGAATAGTTAAATTGATTTAAATTAAATATCTAAAAGCTTAAGTCATATTAAGTAGTTTAAGATGATGTAGGACTGAAAGGAAAATTTCCTGCACTAGGATATTTTCCAAAATACTTAGCCTTGCCTCCCAAAAGGCTTTATCATGCTGAAAACACCGAATATAGTAATGCTGCTGATTGCAAAGAAGAATAAAAGTTGATCATATCAATAATCCCACTTAGAACATGCCACAACTATTCTGTGAATCCCTGGCACCCATGGAAATGGTGAAAAATGGTAACATAATCCCACTTGATGGACCCGATTCAGTTTTGAATCTCGTAGATAACGAGACGCTGAAGTGTGGCCGAAATTTCAGTCTGATCGGTATCAAAAAGACTTATGGGCTGGAAGGTCGACTTTTATTCATGTCATTGTGGGAACTTCAATTATCGGTCTTTTCACCCCTTTATGGTTTTATTCAAGACGAAATGGTGGTTACGTACAAAGTCAAATGAGGCCTAACCTCTTGGTGGTGTAGATCTTCACTGAAAATAGACTTGCGATTGAGGGTATACATAAAATTAAAATGATTTGAAATAGTTAGGGGTAGCAGAATAAATCGTAGACCAAATCCAGGGAATCCAATAAAATTCCTAAAAAGTAAGTTAAGCGTGACTAGCTGGCAAGTCGTCTAGAGCTGAGATTCGTGAATTCGAGGATAACAGGAATTTAATTATTTTTTAGCAATGAGCGTAAATCCCCAAACCAAATTCTTCCTCTTACTCTATCATATGATCTCTATGTAGGTAGTGATTTATATGAATAAAGACAAGCGGTAGCCAAGTAAAATGCAGAAACCAGAAAACAAAAGACGAAGTTATGAAATTCGGGAAGAGAATCACTCACTTTTGGATTTGTCATGATCTGCTGAGAGATGTCCTCTCGGCGTAGCAAACATGCTGAGACTGAGCAGGTTCTCTGAAGTCAGCGAGCGCCGAGTGTCCATTGGCCCACAGAGTTGAGATTGGTTTATCGGCACGTTTGGTGCGGGGGAAACTCTACTTGTTGATAACAATCTTTCAGTATTGTAAATCGCTGGTTTTCCAGCAGATAAATACGACTCGCAATTAAATCTTTCCGTCTCTGGACTTAGTCTCTTGGGTGAAAGGGCACCATCCGCCGTGTTGACCGCATCGTTTACTTTACCTACGAGTTTGGTGAATACACTACTCACACCATCTCGCATCATGCAAACCTGGCCGGGTCGAATATCGGTCGTGTTTACAGCCGCTGGAGGTGACTCTAGTGGCGCTGGTGTCGATGCTGGCGGCGATTGTGGCTGAAATGAAAGATTAGCAGGGGCGAGAGATGTGGCTGTCCTGAGGTGCAAATTGCCATCGTAAGAGTCGAAAAGAGTAGATGAGAGCTGTCTAGAAGAGGGATGAGTCTGTTGAGAAACTATGGTGCCCGTAGGACTATGCATCAGTTGGTCCGGCTCACACTGGATATCGCGCGGAACATTAAAAGACAAGTCATTATCTTTAGAAGACTCCTGAACCTCGTCTGAGAATATTCGCCGACGCTCGGCTACAAGTTGGCTCGCAGAAGGGGTGGAGACAGGTGTAGGTGAAGAGGAGTCAGGTGGACGATTCTGCTCGGCATGCTAAAGGGAATGAAGAATAAGAAAGAAGACGAAGGAAAATTATACAAATAAGTATAAATTGGCAACATGTTTACCAGGACAAT